CTTTTGCCAGGCCGTCTGCAAGTTCATTGCCATAAATACCTGTGTGCGCTTTAATCCATTTTATGACGTAATGATTGTGAGCATTTTCACGTAGACTTTTTTGAATGCCTGCTATTTGCGGGGAGGTATGTTCTGAATTGGCAATTGCTTGCATAGAAGACAGGCTATCTGTATGTATTAAGGCTTTGGAGATTTTATTATTCGTTAGATAGCGTATGGCCTCGTGAATGGCGAGTGCTTCACTCTGGAAAACGCTGTTTTCAGTGCTGAGCTGCATCTGCCATTGGTGAAGGGGTTGTTGTTGTTCACTGAGCACGACAAAGGCGCTGCCTACCTTTTCGTCAATACGAGAACCATCTGTGTAGATGGAGATGTAGCCGGATGGTGCCACATATGCTGGGTTCTTCGTGAGGTGAATTCCAATACCCTTGATTGCTGGGTGTATATGAAGTTGTGAGGTCTTATTCTCAAACTGTTCTTGAGAGAAGGTAACGTAATCATAAGTAAGTGAAAGTCTTAACTGCTGAACCTGTTGTGTCACCGCTTCTTCTTCTATGCGTAGATGAAGTGGTAGCACTCCTGCCAAGATGTTTAGTGCATCAGTAGATGTTGTTCCTGAAGGCTCTTGTAATTGAGAGTAGGAAGGGCCTCTGTAGTGCAGACAGGTGCCGGATTTTCCTTCCCTGCATAGGGAAGGCCCAAATGGCCGCTCCATAGGACACCATCTTCTCGACGACAGTAAGATATAACGCTTTTTGTATGTGAGAATTAATCCCCCAATGAAATCCGCGTTGCATTCTGAAATGCTGTGCTATGATTGCTGTACGCTTCCTTAAATTAAGTATGTGCGGCATCCATGTCAGTTTTTCATCTATGTATAGACCGAGGTATCTCAGGACACGGACAATTTTAATTCGACGATTGTTGATGCGGATTGTCGGTCTTCTAGTCAGTGATCCTCCCTTCTTTGCGATTAGTAGAATTTGACATTTGTGCTCTGCTACTTGGAGTTTTTGTCTGTTGCATTGCTGGTAGAATAGATTGCAAACTTCGTTTGAGTTGGCCTCCAATTCTGCTCTAGTACGTCCTCGGACAAGTAGAGCAACATCGTCTGCATATGCGAATATGGAGGAATGCGTTGGCAGTGTGAATTTTAGGACTGAGTTGAAGGTTGTGTTCCACAAATGGGGGCCTGCACAGGACCCCTGTGGACATCCTCTGGTTTGGGTACGCTTGATAATCCCACTGTCGTGCACTATTAGAAGGCAACGGTCCGTTAGGTAATGTCGCAAAGTAAGGAAAATATTGCGTGGACAATTGAACTGTTCTGAGTGCTTCTAAAATTGAGGGCCACCACAGCATATCAAATGCACTTTTCAGGTCTATACTGATTAGTGCAGTATGATAGCCGTGGTTGCGATTATCGTGTATAGCTGAATGTATATCGTGGAGTGCATGCAGTGTTGATGACCCTGTTCGAAATCCATATTGCTTGGGGTGTAGATATTGGCCTCTTTCTAAGTGGTGTCGTAAGCGATTCATTAGAAGCTTCTCATATACTTTTCCGAGAGCCGAAAGTAAGCAGATCGGTCGGTACGAGGATGGATCTGAAGGGTCGCGATCCTTTTTTAGGAATAATACGACCTGGCCGACCTTGAATGCTTTTGGGAACGTACCTGTTTGAACGTACCTGTTTCTAGCAGCTTATTAAAGAAGGCTATAAAAAGTGGCAAAGATGCTCTTATTGCTGTTTTGATGATTTGATAGCTTATCCCGTCTGGTCCCGGTGCCTTGTTATTGGGAAGGAGTTTCAGGACTTGTAAAACTTCCTGTATGGTGAAGTCTGGATCGTCTGCAGTAGACGGAGTAGATTTGTTACTGCGTAGAGATTTATGATATTCCGAGTCGTCAGAATTGTCATCTTGACTAAATAACACCCATAAATAGTGAGTACGCGAGTCCAGTCGTACTTTGTAGGAAAAAGAACGAGCTTCCTCCTTCGGATAAAAGGGCTTGGAGGTTTGCTATCGATTTACAGAAAACTCAATAGTATTACTAAATTCCCGGTTTACCCTTTGCCGGTGATAGAGGAAATTATTAGAAAGATCAAAGTCTACTAGATATATGACTACGTTTGGACTTAACGTTCTGGCTACTATCAAATAGCTATGAAACCAGAAGATATACATGAAACCGCGTTTATCACAAAATCGGGCACTTATGCATTTTTACGCATGCACCTTTGGGCTGTGTGGGGCCCCATCAACATTCCAGAGAGCTTATGGACATTGTTCTAAAGCCTGTCCTAGGAAAATCGACTTTAATCTATCTACATGATATAATTATAACGAGTAGTACGTTGGAACAACATATTAAAGATCTAGAAGAAGTTTTTAAATTATTAAAAGAGGCCGGTCTTACAATTAACGCCTCAAAATGCAAGTTCGCAACTAAAGAACTTAAATATCTCGGTTATAAAATTTCGCAAAAGGGTATAGAAACGCAAGATTCAAAAATGAAAGCAATCAAGAATTCTTCCCACCGCCCAACACCGCCAAGAAACTTTCTTCTTTCCTTGGGTTATGTTCTTACTATCGGTCTTTCATAAAAGATTTCGCTAATATTGTTGAACCACTGTTAGTAATTAAAAGAAAGAAAAGTAAATTTACGTATACAGCGGAAACAAATACCGCATTCGAAAGATTAAAAGAAGCGCTCCTCAACGCCCCTGTTTTGAAATTCCCGGAGGGGGACGAAAACCTGGAAATTGCAGCAGATGCGTCGACTATGCGGTGGGTGCGGTTCTTATGCAAATTAGCCATCCTCTGGCATTTTTTAGTAAAACGTTGAATCAAACACAAAGGAATTATACAGCTACAGAGAGAGAAACATTAGCCGTATTAATGGCTGTACACAAATTTCGAGTTTATTTCGGCAAAGCGCCAGTAACAGTCTTTTCGGATCATGCGGCTGTTGGTAGACTTTACTCGGGGAAAAACCTAACGTCCAGGTTAATAAGATGGGCTTTAAAACTCCAAGAATATAATCTAATAATAAAATATTGTTACGAATTTGATATTTAAAAAGCTAATGTTAGTTCAATTATAAATTAAATGGTTTTATTTCTCGCGCAGTGCAGCGCGTGACGAATATTAAAAGAAAGCTAAGCCGGAAAATTGAAAATACAAGAGCGCGTGCATTAAATAAATAAATATCTCTTTTTGATTTCGAGAAAGTACTGGAAAATTCTAGCGCGTGATTTTAAAATCTTATAAAAGGAGGAAAACATCTCAGTTTGTAGTAGTTGCTTAGTTTGTTGTTGTTTAGAAAACTGCCGTTGTTGATTATAGCGAATTCGCGGATTAGCGTTCTTTAGCTGTTTTGAATTACGTTCTATTGTACATTTAAGTAGTTAAAAGATAACTACTGTGAGATATTGTGATACTGCATGATAATTTGAGAAAATTTAAGCATTTCTGTTGTGATAATAATAAATTTTTGTTCATTTTTCATCGGACTTGTGCATTCATTTCATAACGAACCCGTACGCACGCAACAATTTTTGGTGTCAGAAGTGGGATTTGAATGCCAATAACAAGAGCGATGGAAGAACAATTCAGGCAAATGATGACTGCATTTGCTGCTTTCCAAGAAAAGATGGAAGGAGCCGTCAACTTCGTTAAGGAAGATATAAAAGCTGTACAAGAAAAGATGGAAGCTGGCCAAACATCTTTTAAAGAAGAAATTAAAGAGAAAATGGATGCTGGTCAAATCCGTTAAGGAAGAAATGAAATTGGGCCAGGAATCCGTTAAGGACGAAATGAAAGCCGTTCAAGCTGGTCAAGAAGAAATGAAAGAGGAAATTACTTGCATAATAGAAAATAAATTTGAAGCTATGGAAGGCAGAATTGACGCAGTTGAAAATAAAGTTGGACATACTGAAGAAAAAGTTTCTTCCGTAAAAGATCATATTGAAGAAAGAGTTTCTTCGGTGAAAGAAGAAATAGAAGAAAGAGTTTCTACTGTAAAAGAACATATAGAAGGGAGAGTTTCTGCTGTGGAGGAACGAATTGAAGGAAGAATTTCTGCCGTCCAACACCAAATCGAACAACAAATTGATGAGAGAGTTTCTGCAGTCGCCAAAGAAATGGATACTTTAAAGAAATTCGTAGCGTCGGCAGGGAGCAGGAGTGATGATTTTAAATTCTTACCAATGCCTGCTCGTCCACCTCTGAAGCTATCCACATATGATGGGAAGACCTCCTGGCAAGTGTATAAAACACAATTTTCTATCGTTTCGGATGCGAATGGATGGGATTCCCAAACTAAGGCCTGTCATCTCGCCGCTTCTCTGAGAGCAGATGCAGCGGATATCCTTCAGACTCTTCCCGAAAACAAAAGGTTAGATTTCGAAGCTCTGTCCGGCGCCTTGGAGTTGCGCTTTGGGGAGAAGTGTTTAAAAGACTACAGCAGGCTCCAATTAAAATCTCGTCAACAGAAGCCTACCGAAACACTTCAGGAGCTCGCCGCGGATGTTGAAAGGCTGTCCCATCTCGCCTTTTCGGAATGCCCGACAGAAACAAGGGAAATCCTGTCCTTGCAATACTTTATCGACGGCATCCGAGATACTGAAATACAGAAAGCTCTACGAATGGCGGATGTAAAAGATTTAAAAAGTGCTCTAGTGTACGCCATGAAATTTGAGGCAGCCCAGCAAGCCACTCGTCGAGACCGCCACCCAGTCAGAGCTGCTCAAGTCCAGGAGCCAGGGGATCAAGTTACTGTTCGTCTAGACGATATAACCAGACAACTCAAATGACTTAAAAAGAAATATCAGTGAAAAGAAACCGACCTTAAAATGTTGGAACTGCGGTGCTGAAGGACACATACGAAGGAACTGCAGAACACCCCAGAGCACGGAAAATAAGGCATACGATTTAAACAGACAATTAAATGTCACGGGAAGGAAAAGGACTGACAAGAAACCAAAGTGCTGGAACTGCGGAGCAAAAGGCCACGTGCGAAGGAACTGCAGAATACCCCGAAGCACGGAAATTGAGACCATTTCCCAGCGACGATGGAGGAAACAAATGAGTGACTATATCGAGGAACAGAGGTTGCCAGAGAATGAAAAACCTTGTTTTAAAGCGCTCAAGATTTCTACAGTGAGTGGCAACAGTAACGGACTGTCCATCAATGGCCATGTCGATGGAGTTCCTTGCAATATGATCATCGACACAGGAGCTAATGTTACCATCATTCGGAGAGATTTAGCTCAACAGTTTAAAGATAAACTTATTTGGACGCCATCCTCTGTTACCCTTCAGACTGCGTGTGGTGACAAGATCGACATAGCTGGGAAGTTAAACGTGAACATCACGTTTGGAAGTGCCGCCTACCATCACACGGCATATGTGGCGGATATTACAGATCCATGCATACTCGGACTGGACTTTTTAAGGAAATACAATTTTTCCTTAGACTTCAAAAACAATAAACTGCTTTTAGGATCTGAAAACATGACTATCCATCCTCAGAAGGGATCCTCACCTGGAAATGCCGACGCCTTGTCCGAAAGACCCAGCTCGGGAAGCTGCCGAAATCATACTAGGGTCGAAAAGAAACGCAAGACTACCAACTGTTCTCCATCACAAATGCTCTTCGGTAGTGACCTTCGTCTGCCTTGTGACCGCCTGTTTGATCGCCATACGGATG